AAGATTCCACATTTTAGCTTAATTAGTCTGAGCTCTTACTAATTCACTTCCATCGGTGAATTAACGTCACTGGCATTATACTTTAACACGATGCTTCTTAAAATTTGGGAGAACTTAGAATGACTCCTTTAAGAAGCTACTGATTCTTAATCTGGATTTTTTTGTGGAAAAAAATGTACATACCCACAGATCTGAAATTTGCGTATAGTTTCACAATCTATCTACGAACTCCTCCTTCGAAGGCATCCTTTAATTCCTTTTTCCCCACACGTGGTGGGTAACAGCCATATGAAAAGTGCTTTTGCATTTGTTATAAATCTGTTCATGAGGACTTTCCATTATGCTCTCAAAAAAATTATCTTTTTGAATTTAACACCACTCCACACTCCTGAAAACTTGGTGCTTTAAGTTGCTTTTGAGGAAGAGGGATGATGTTTCAACTGTCTTTTTTGCTCTGGCTTCTAGGCTCAACCAAAATAATTAACACTTGTCATTAGCATTTTCTTCTATCTCAACTTTTAAATTTTATTTTTATTTGTTAATTTTGTTGTTTAGATCTGTTATACATTTTTTCCAGTTCTCCTTCCTCCCCCTACACAAAAAAGAGACACAGATTTTATTCTTCTGTTCTAATTTTTCTTGAAAATTTCTTCTAAATATACCTGAAAAAGGTAGAAGGGGAATTACTGCCCATAAATGCAGAACTTGTAAAGCACAGGATGTCTAAATTGAAAGCCTTTTCTTAATAGATGTGAAGTGACTGACAAAAGAAGCTTCACCCGTGGACTTCAGAGTTAAAGAAATTAAACTCTCACTAAAGGACGTCATACTTCCTTTTATTAGCTATTTCAAACTCAAAAATTAGGAGGTCGTCCAAAAATAAGGGCAGGATCCTGTCAGTGTGGACATATGGCCTTTCTAATCTAAAGGAAAAGGTAGGTGCTAGCCCCAAACCATACTTGAAAAGTTGACTCCACTCCAACATTATTACCCTTAGAAACTGCCCCTTCTCTGCTTTCCACTTCCTCCATACTCATTGAAAGGCAAATGAGCTTGAACTGGACACAGCCAGCCATCACTCCCAGAAAACACAAAATCCTGCCATTTGACATTCGGCCTGAGAATCTTTGTACACATCTTACAGAGCCTCAACACGGATTCCTGACAGCTCACTGGGCCACAGCCCCGGCGGGATTTTTCAGCTACATCTGCAGTATCTTTTCTACTTAGGCAGCTGGCATAACTTGGGAAAATTCATTAACATGCTAATGATGTCCTATTTAAAATTCCAGCCCTGATTATTCTGTGATTAAATCTCTCCGCTTGACGTCTGCTTCCTTTATATCTGAGTTACAGTGCGAAATCGACAATATTAATAAAGTACAATACGGATTACCAACTTATACACAAGGGATGGAAAAACAGTTATGTAAATCTCAGGGTTGTCTTTTTTCTGAAAAACAGATGTAGCAAACTGTAAAAAAGTTACTGATTTTTTTCATCCTACTCTCTTTAAAAAAACATTGAAATCCACAATAATTAAACGTTTATAGTTAATTTCCATAAGTATTCAGGGGTCGAAAGATAGATTTAGCTTTTCATCCTATTTCACTGCACTTAAAATTGCTCAGAATTCAAACGTGTTCTCCTGAAGTCTTAAGAACAGCCAATAGGGCTTAAAACACACCCCTTTCTCGCCTCTTCATAGACACTGTGTCACTGTGACAAAAGTCAATGGATTCGGTGATTGCTGTCTCCTTTCACCCTTGAGTACTTCGGCATATTTCAGTCCCTTTTCATCATATTGTTCTGTCTGCCAATCTGAATATCCGACTCAGATACTCAAGCATCTTCCATAAAAGTCTATCAAACTTATCGCTGCTCTCATTAAATTGGAAAATAAGTTTAAAAATTTTTTAAAAAGGAGATCCAAGGTCTGGGTCTGTAATTCAAAATAAAGGAAGAAAGGACTAACGTTTCATTGTAACATCTGGCCCCAGTAAACGGACAAATATTTATAGTATATTTACAATTTTGAAAGACACCACGCTGGAGCCTGCAACAATACAAATGAAACATAAGCACAGTTCTTAGACCTCAGTGCACTTACAATCTAGCGAGAGACACAAGATGTAATGATATTGTAAGTGATCAGCAAAGCAACTTCATCTGTGATGAGTCATGACATACTCACTTCCTGTCAATGAGTTCTCTGTATGAGAGAGATTGCTAATTGTTTACTAAGACTGCACATCTCCCCTTCTGCTATAGAAACAGAGTCCCTGGCTGGACTTGGACTTACATGTGGCTGGGTCAGCCATCTTGGACCAAACATCACATGTTGAGGGGCACAGAAGAACAAAATAGAAGAGGCTGGGTCCCTATCATTATGGAGTTGCTCGTCCATCCCTGAATTGCTTTTTCCCCTGAATTGCTTTTTCCCCTGAATGTTTCATTCTGTAACCATTGCTGGAAATCAAAATCTGTTTTTAATAACACTACATATTGCTCATTTCTTAAAAATTCTTATTTTAAAATGTTTTATCAAAGAGTAAAAGGAGTCAGCTCATAGTACATACATGCATATGCATACTATTCCTTTGTATTTGCTCTACAGTTAAACTTGAGCACAGAGCTCCTCCTGAATTTTTAACTCTCAAAATCCAGCAAATGACAGAATATGGATTTGGGCCTAGTTTTATTACATTTCAATAGATAAGTTTCAATTTACTAAGGAATTCATTATTTATTTATTTTCTTTCACACTCTCACCAACCCAAGATTATTAATTTGGTTCACCTGAAGCCAAATCATCTCAGATTGGTTAAAAACTAGCTTCAGCCTAAAGCCTAGGGAAAAGGGCAGCTGATCCAGAAAAATCAAAGCATAAAACATAAAGATCACCTTCACAACAGTAATGAGCCATCTGCAGTTTAGAATCATCCATGGTAACAATCTCTCGTTCCATTTGTTTATGTTTTATTCATTGGTTTGAAAACACTTAGTGGAGTGACAAAGATGAGATTCAAAAAATATTGTACAGCTTTTTTTTTTTTAAAGAGATATTAATGACTTTCAAGAGCTCAACTGTTCAAATGAAAATATTGCTGGACTACATTTGTCAAAATTTGTTCACATCTTCATTATTAGATATAATAGATTCCCCATTTTGTGCCAAAAATTATGTGGTGATAACATGAGAAATTTCATAGTTTTCACTGTTTATACATTTAAAAAATCAATAGCGGGGCTGGCCCAGTGGCACAAGTGGTTAAGTGCGCGCCCTCCGCTGCGGCGGCCCGGGGTTCGCCAGTTTGGATCCTGGTCGTGCACCGACGTACCGCTTGGCAAGCCATGCTGTGGCGGTGTCCCAATATAAAGTGGAGGAAGATGGGCATGGATGTTAGCCCACGGCCAGTCTTCCTCAGCAAAAAGAGGAGGATTGGCAGATGTTAGCTCAGGGCCGATCTTCCTCACACACACACAAAAAAACTCAATAGCAAAAATTCATTTAAAATATGTAATGTTCATTCCTATTGTAACTTAATCACCCACACTGTTACATCTTGGGGGAACTTGTCACTGCTCAGTACTACAGTTATATTTTAAGGCTCAAATGCACAGTCTCTAGTTACATATTTGGCAAAAACAAAGCTTGACCTGCAAAAGTGAAAAAACAAAAGATAAGATGCTCTGAGTTGTTGAGCCAACTTAGAGGCATCCATTACTAAGAAGACACAAGAGCAAATGAATATCCCATCTGTGATTCAAATAACTCTGGGGAGAAACCTCTCTCTACACAATTTAGTAAGCCTTTAAAACAAAATATATTCAGTGAAATGACACACCTATTTCTGCCAGCTGATTTCATATTTATTTGGTTTTAAATATTAACATTCATTTACTTCAGTTTGTAGAGTATTTTCAAATAGCCCTATTTCAAATCTGGCTACCTAATATCCCCATTTTTTCTTCTTTCTTTTTAAATAAGCATACTTTGTACATATAGTCATTTATTAGTACATCTGTCTTTCATTTTCCTAGTAAACAAGATTTATTTAGGGACCATGAGATACTGTGTATGACCTCTGCCCTCCAGCAACATCTAGTTCCTAGGGGAAATGCAAGGGCAAATATGCACACACACACACACACACACACACCCCTCAGAATATTTGTAAGTTACCTCATTTAACCTGTACCACTTAATTGGCCTATGATATGGATATTAGTCTTCTGCTTTTACTGGTAAAGAAACAGGTTCCAGCGTCTAACATATTTTAAATCTGAATTTGTTTCTTATGATTTCATTCCGCATACTAGAAACTGAATCATCAGAAATTCTTTACATTTTTTTTTAAGAAATAAGTTTTCACTTTATCAATTTGAACTGAACTGGCATCTTCTGAGACTATCCCTCGAGGAGCAAACCTCAAGGTGACCTCAGCTATCTTAACTGGACAGGAAAAGAACACAAGAACACTTGAACTCCTCCGACAAGCAGATACTTGGGCTACAGCAGCACTGGCATCTCTGCATCATTCTTCCCGGGGAAAGAAGCTCTCAGAAAAGCTCACACACAGAAAAGCCACTTCATGGTCTTTTCTCAGTTTTCTCAGAGTCAGCCTGCTTTCATCTGTGACTGTGCAAGCCAGAAGACTGAGCCAACAAACTAAAGGAAGATAACTGTCAAACAGAAAATTCTCAAGACCTGTGCCAAGGGAGAGATTGCTCTAAAGAATCACAAGGCCATTAGCAAATTCAGGGTAGAGGAGGGGGAAAAAGACAGAAAAAGAAAAGATATCACATGTGATAGCAAAACAAAAGCTGACAAGAAATTCTACCCCATTTGCCAAGGCTCCTGCCAAAAAAGTCCTCCAGGAAAACCGTTGTGTGCTCCAGGACGCCCTTCACAGTGATGTTCACACAAAGTACAGAACGTCCTGCCCGGCCACACAATACAATAAATATTTTACCAGGCCACAGTTGTGACTACTTACTGTAGGCAGTTTCCCCGTGTTCCAGTTCTCTTCTCAGGCTGTTGTAATCTTCTTTAACACGTCCCAACTTTTTGACATTCCTGGAACTCAGCACCAACAGCTTGCTGAGGAGTCCCTCCAGCCCGTCCCTCTCTGAAGTTAATGATCTAATCTCCTCTGTGAGCTCCTTCGCTGTACAGAAATGGTTTCCTGCAGCACATTGTGGGAGAGAAGGAGGGAAAGTAAGCTTTACAGCACCCCCACACATGGAAGATTTAGCAACAGCTAACATGCACTAACAGTGTGGCTAAAGGGGACTGAACTTTGCAACTACATCCAACTGCAACAACAGTCTTCTGTGGAGGAATCTGGAAAAACACTGACTGTCCTCCTTAAGCTAGGAAACCACCAGTCTCTTCACCTTATTCTTGTTATGTTCTGTTTTAAGGGTTCCATTGGCCAAATCATGTCCTTGATGACACAAACATGTCCCAGTGAAACCCAGGGAAGCCATGTGGCATCACTCTATTCAAATATCCAAATGTCACAGAGGTGAAATATTATAGTAGGGTGGAAAGGGACTGGGCCTTGAAGTCAGACTAGATGTAAACTCAATCCTAGCTCCCTGTTATTCGAACTGCCTGACTTTGAGCAAAGAACTTATCATATGCAATTTCAGGCCAAATTTCTTATAAATATGATCATGCTAACACCTGCATCATAGATGGCTGCAAGAATAAACATGAAATTCTGTAGAGCACTGAGCAAAATATTTGGCACATTGAACAGCTGCAGGATACAAGGTCAATATACAAAAATCAATTGTATTTCTAAACATTAGCAACAAACAATTGAAAGATGAATTAAAAAAAAATACCATGTACAAGATTTTAAAACTCAAAATGCTTAGATAAAGAAACATGTGCAAGACCTCTACACAGAAAACCACTTTTAAAACTTCTGAGAGAAATTATAAAGACGACCTAAATAATTAAAAAGATATACTATATATACCTACATTGGAAAACTGAATATTGCTAAGATTTACATTTTCCTCAAATTGATCTATTGATTCAATACAATTCCAATCAAAATCACATGAGGGTCTTTTGTAGAAATTGACAAGCTTATTCTAAAATGTAAAAGAAAATACAAAGGCCTAGATAAACCAAAACAATCCTTAAAAAGTAGAACAAAGTTAGAGGACATATACTACTTGATTTCAAACCAACACTGAAGCTACAGTAAATCAAGCCAGTGTGGCATTGGCATATGAATAGATAAACAAACAGATCAATGGACTAGAATAGACAGTCCGGAAGTAGACCCGCACTCACACAGCCAGTTGATCTTCAACCAAAGTGCCAAAGCAAGTCAATAAGGAAAAGAGAGTATTTTCAACAAACGGTACTGGAACAACTAGCTACCTATATGGGGAAAACATTATCCTTGATACATACCTCAAACCATACACAAAATTTAATTAGAGATGGAGACCTAAACATAACAGACCTAAACGTAGAAGTGAAAACTATAAAGCTTCTAAAAGAAAATATAGGGGAATATATGACTTTGGAGTACACAAAAACTTTAGATAGGACACAGAAAACTATATATAAAACTAACTATAAAAGAAAAAAATGGATAAATGGACTTCACCAAAATTAAAAACCTCTACACATCAACAAAATACCATTAAGAAAAGGAATAGGCAAGCCACAGACTGGGAGAAAATGTTTTAGAATACGTATATCTGACAAAGGACTTGAATCCTACAACTCAAAAATTAAAACACAAATGACCTTATTGAAAAGTGAGCAAATGACTCAACAGGCACTTTACAAAATAAGATATACCAGTGGCCCATAAGTATATGAAAAAGTGTTGATGATCATTAGTCTCCAGAAAAATGCAAATTAAAGCCATAGAGACTCCACTACAAAACCATTCAAACGGCTCAAATTAACTACAGTGAAACTGTCTACGTTGGCAAGGATGTGGAGCAACCAGAACTCTTATACATAGTGGGAGTGTAAAATGGTACAACCACTTTGAAAAAAGTTCTGCCCATGTCTCATAAAGTTAAACATACACCTTTTATGTGTATTCTACTTCTAGATATTTACCCAAGAAATGAAAACATGCAATCAAAAATACTTGTACTCGAATGTTCACTGTGGCTTTACTCATGATAGCCCAAAACTGGAGACAACCTGAATGTCCATCAGGAGGAGAATGCAGAAGCAATGGTATGTCTACACAGTGGCAGACTATTCAGCAAGAACAAGGCACAAACTCTTCATACACACAGTGACATGGAAGTATCTCAAAAAAAACAAGACACAAAAGAGTGCATACCACATGATCCCATTGATATTAAGTTCTAGAACAGGTCAAACTAATCCATGGTAAAAAGATATCAGAACAGAGGCTGTCTAAGGAAGGGGGGATGATGAATGGGAAGGGGCATAAGGGTGATGATTCTGGGGTGATGAAAATATCTTGATAGGGCTGCTGATAACAAAAGTGTCAAAATTCATAGAACTATACACTTAATATCTGTGCATTTCATTAAATGTAAATCATACCTCAATAAAGTAAAAAACATATTAGGGAAAATTTAAATATGAAAATTATACCATAAATTAATAAATATATCACATTAATGAGTGCTCCATAAATAGTTATTGTTACTAGAGGGCTCCATATTGTTTCCTAAGACTTTATTATAACCATAATCACGATAATAGCTATAAACCTTCTCTCCTTTAAACCTCACCGCAACCCTGAGACAGAGGTTATACCCTGTCTTATCTATTCTAACATGTACTTTTTTTTACGTGTTAACATCTCTGAAATGGGGATGTATCTACACTCGCTATTAGCCAGGATGTATCTTGGATGAAGTTGTTATTAGGTGATTGTTATTCTTGGGGGCCTAACTGACCATCTGCAACCTCCTGGTCTTTCAATGTACAAACCATTTAAGGACCATTTGAGTCCTGGCTGTTGCCTGAAAACCTTACGGTGACATGGATTTGTAGGATCAGGAAAGCACCAGAATTTAAAACTTGAAGAACAGTGTTAGCAGCTTGGCAGAAAATTCTACAGAAAACAGTAGTACATTCTTGGAGGAAAATAAAAAAGAGTTACATCACCAATAGCTTCACTGATGCAGAGGATGATAATGTGTGGAAAAACATGATCCTCGACTACTTCGTGTGTTTCAGAACACTCAGACTCTGAATATGAAGACATTTTCAGAAAACGACCAATTCATTTTCCTTATATTTTCCTTTTTAAAGAGTGATATGTGATTTTTCAAAAGCCTAAATATATCTAAAAGAGCTATTGCAATAAGTACAAAATAAAAATTCTAAGCCACAGAAAGCATTGTATCATTGTTTAATTGATAGCAATTTTTCTTTCTTAGTAGCATATAAAATAATAGTGCATCTTGTGTTCACTGAAATACATGATGTTATCTCTACTTTACAACTGAGAAAATTAAATCTCCCACTGAAGACTACCTAGAATGAAATACAGGGCAAGTTTCCAACTCGGACATAACTCCAGAATTCCGCCTCTTAAGTACTAAACTGTGCTGTTTACTTCTTTATTATTATTATTTAATAGGCAGATTTCAACCTGAAATAAACACGAGCGAGGTTACAAAATGTTTTCCCACTTTAAAGGCATTCTGAGCACCCAGCACATATCATCTCTGTCACTGAAATCCATAGTTTTCAATTCCATTATTGGACAAATATCTTTTGAGACTCTATTTACCATCTATCACTGTAGCAGGTAAATACAGAAAGGAATGAGGCACCGGCCCTGCTCTCCAGGAGGTTCCCATTAAATAAAGGAGATAAGATGTCTTGTAAGAAATACGCAAACATGCACTAGGTGAGCTCAGAGAAGAGAGAGAGTTCCAGAAAGGGAGACAGAGGCAGGTTACATGAGGAAAGAATGTAAAGTTTCCAAAAGAAGAAATGGGAAACCTGGTTAGAGAACAAAGGGCCCTGTCTTCAGTGGATGGTAGGACGCATGAGGCTGAGGTGGAGACTAGACTGACAAAGTTGGATCCAAATGGCAGAGGGCCCAAAATGCCAAGCTAGTGGGTTTGGACCCATTTAGGAAAAACAAAGTCTTGACAAGCAGAGCAGACTGGACTTCCATAAGCTTTGAGTTGTAAATAGAAACACAACTGAAATATTTCCCGGATCTGTGATTTCCAACCTGAACAATGACCAAGGCCGCTGTGGGTGGAGCTGCCTATGTAGCGCCACAAAGAAGCTCAAGGGACACTCCATGCTCTCGGGAGCTCGTAGGAGGCCCAGCCGCAGAGGTGTGACTGCCTCTGGGCAGAGCAGCCACGGGCACAACCTGGTGCTTCAAATGTCCCTTCTCAGGCTGGGCTTAGGGAGCCCCCACCTTTCTGCTGGACCATGTTTTCAAGCAAGAGATTTAACAAAAACTGGGGTAGGCACCAACTGTGCCCCTACAGACACCAGGCAAAATATGCCACAGTGTACACTCTCCTCCTGAGAATAGTTGAGAGAGAAAAGACCTCTAAAAACAAATTGGAAGAGACTACATATGCAGAGCAAGTGCCTGAACAGAAGATTTCCTGCAAATACATCCTCAGACCCTCCTGCAACTCATCTCAAGCTCTAGAGATCAGGGCCCTAAATAAAACATGAGAGAGATCATTAAATAAAACCTGGGCCCCTTCCTTGATGCTAAGGCATACAGCTTGGGAAAATGCACAGTGATAGATGTGGAAGTGTTATATATGCAGAATGAGCGTGAATTCCCAAAGAGACAGTTAATATCAAAACTCAAGCCATGATAAAATGCTACACTACCCTCGGTTAATATTTTATAAGCATTTTGGCCTCAGATCCAAGCCCAGGAGGTAAATCTTGCTTGATGCAGCCCTCCCTGATTGCTGAAACCGGCCAAGAGCTCTGTGATGAAAATTCAGAAAAGTAAATGCTGATCCCTGAAGGAAGTCCCATCAGTGACTCAGTGACCCCAATCTCCATAACTCTAATGGGCCCTTCCCTAAATGCCATGGGAGGATTTGCGGAAAGATGAATATCCCTTTGCCATCGTGCTGCACATCTGCTGCCTCTCTGCAGCAAGGGAATCGTACTTGAGCGTTCACATCGGTTTTTTAAAGCACCTGTCAAAATATTTTATTC